AATTCAATATAACAAAAATGTGGAGTGTCTGCTCGCGTTATATATTTATGTTTTATTTATAATTGACAAGGTAACTCGGTCGGAAAATGTCTCCCTCCCATAATTCCCGTTTCCCATGAATTAGTAAACCTGACAAAGTACTTTAGTGCGACTTATGTGGTGTTTTCGTCGCTTCTTTTATCTTTTCCTTACACTGTCTTAATCCGATTTCGGGTCAGATTTGTGATTTTTCTCACCAAGTCGACGGTTTTAGGGTTAAGAACTGCCTTTATGAAATCCCTTATGATAAGTCACATTTTAAGCTGTTGGACGTAAACGACGATAAGGCACAATATTTCATCCGCTTTTTTATACAGGAACTAGCTGAAGGACGTCGGTCCATCACGCAGGAAACGTCCTACACTAAGGAGGGATTTTCCCAAGAAGTGCTTTTTTAAAGGATTTGTGTGAAAAATTATGACTGTAATTGAATAGCAGATAGTGCAGGTCTGAAAAATGTTGTTATATTTACTTATTTATACTTCATAAAATATTGGAATAAAAGTTATAGCTATGTACGAGTATACCTGATTTTCACTTGCCAAATAAAAAAAACGCGTAATATGACGCGAGAAAGCAGCTTCGCTTCCTTAATTCGCTTGAGCCGTTTTTCTTACAACTGTTCAGAATATTCTTTGAAATTCGTTAAATAAAGGTAACATTAGGTACATACTACTGTGTTTTGTTTATTTTCGAAGAATAACAAACAGTTTCACATTAAATTTAGCTACATAACAGGTGTATATAGACACAGTGGGAGAACTAAACCATCACTGTTAATCACAAATGAAGTTAGGTACATAGATAAAATATACATAGAATGAAGTTACCGAGTTACCGAATAACTTCGTAAGATTCAGTTGAGGTCTGTTTGTATTATTTAGACATGAGTAAAAAACTAAATATAATCTAAAGAGTTTAGACTTAAGAGGTGGAAAATATAGAGTTTGGATACCTTTAAAAACAATTATTTTAATCAATATTTTCAATTAAATATTACCGGTCACTTTGGAAGGGCTTACTGATGACCTAAATAACTAAATAGAGTATTTCAACAAAACGTAAGCTCTTTTCAAAGCTTAGCTCCAATTATAGGTAAAATCGAGTACTTCTACTGCACATTGAATATACCTACTTAAATATTTGTCAAAGACCGTTGCCATTCCCATTGGGTACAACTTAGCTACAAACTCAAGTCAAAGCATCAAAGAAACCGTATGCAAACAGTATGAAATGCATGTACAGACGTCACATGAAACCAGCCATTTTTGTTGCAAACTCGCTCTTATTAGAACTAGATAAGAACCACAGTGTAAAGCTTGACGTGCTGGTCTGTACCTACATTTGCGGAATTGATTGGGTTTGCCAAATAAATGTTTGATTTTGCATACAAATTACACACTAACTGAGGCGTTCAATCACGCGGTGATTTGGTCGGTCAAAGCGTAATTTCATTGAATAATGAGAAACTTAATTATAGGTCCCGTAGCGCCTTTGTATTTAAAAATTGATGTTATGTTTTAAGTAGCAAGAGATAGAGCAAAAGATCTTAAAGGTCTGAACTGAAAAAGTCTGAGGAAACTTTACAATTTCATTGTTTATTACTCAGTTTGGTTACTTTGATGTATGACGAAACACGGCAACTTTACTTTAATGTTAATAAGCTAGGTAGACATGTTTTATGTTATGGTCTGATTAAATAAGTTGGTACATACTTAAAAGCTTTCCAAGTTAATGAAGTGACATCGCCATAATGATGCCCCGTTTTAATTCCAAAATAAATAAATACAGCATCAAAATTTCCACCGAGCAGATAAATTAGTTTGTTATTCAGAACACGGGCTGCGGGATTTAGAGCCAATTCCCTTTTTGATCTCTCCCTACCAAACAACAGGACTCTGTCACGGCAGCAGACGGGTTCTGTCTTTGCATAAAATATTAGTCCGGGCCGCAACTTGAATCGTACCACGAAAAATACGGCGCGGAAAAATTGATGCTCACTTTCCGCACATAATTTTGGGTTGTTTATTTATTTATTTAGTAGGTTGTGACCGAAGCTTTGCTCGCGTTAACTTCAGTCTGTCATAGAAACTTTATCGTGCTTTATTCTTTTGTTTCAGCCAAATGACGTCCACTGTTGGACAAAGGTCTCCCGCAAGGATTTTCACTTAGCCCGGTTCTGCGCTGCCCGCATCCAGGTACTTGACGCAACCTTCACTAGATCGTCGGGCCACCTAGTGGGAGGCCTGGCCACACTACGTCTTCCGGTTCATGGTCGCTACTTGAGAACTTTTCTGCCTCAGCTGCTATCAGCTCTACGAGATATTATGTGCCCACCCACTGCCACTGAAGTTTAGCAATTCTGCGGGTAAATGTATCCCTTCTAAAATATTAGGAGAGTAGCATTTTAAACAATTTTTAAAAGATATGAAAAATGTGATTGCCTCAGGTGGCAATTGAATCCGCGAAATTTCGCTGGCCAGGTTTCGTCTGATCATCATTCTCACCATCATTATTCTTTAAATACTGTTGTTGAACAAAGTAGGGTTTAGTTTTGAAGGAACATAATGGAATCAACGAATTAAACAGTGGTTTTGAGAGCATTTACACGGGGTTGCGTTGTGAGAAATTACCATAATAAAGCATGAATTATGTAAATGACACAGATATTTACATAAAAACATTTAACTTAACGCAACATAACAACAGTCATAATATTTGTAACGCTTTGTAACATGTAGGTAATAAAATCAACCGCCTCTGTGGTCTAGTGGTAAGACCACCTGCTTCAGACGTATTCCCGGGTTCGATTCCCAGTGGGGGCAGATTTTTCTGTTCGGTTTGGTTGGTAGTTTAGGGCTTGTTCTAAGCTCGCCTGGCTAGCTACCACCATCTTACCTAAGTCTGTCGCCATAACAACAATGTTAACAGCATTATTGTGTTCCGGCAGTTAGAGGTAAGATAGCCAGTTCCTCCGTGGTTGAGGATTCCGGGTGAAGCTCGCTTCCACCTTCGGCCTGATTGTCACTTACCATCAGGTGAGATACAGGCCAAGAACTTCCTCGTTGTTGATTAAAAAAAAACTCCAGACACACATTCTGTTAAATGATCAGAAAAAAAATGTTTTGTCCAATAAAGTAAATTATATTTTTAAGGATTCTTGTCTAAATTATTAACGTAGGAATGTTTGCTACATTAACTTTTACTCGAAAATAATTTGCATTAATTTAAAGTTCCTATTCGTCTATAGTTTTGTATAACTCTGAACAGTGGTTTAATTTTCAATTCCCCAAACAATCTATAATTACAAATGAATTTTCCAACCAGCTAAACTCAAGTTTATTATTATTTACATTTTGTTGTTCCTTTACTGTAAAGTCGGACTTTAATTAATTCTCTTCTAATTAATCAACCAGGGCAAGGACAAAGCTAATTCTTAAGAACTGTAATCACTGGGAAAAGTTAACAGTTAATTACAGACATTAACTGCTTAGTTAATTAATCATAACTATCTGACACACTTTTGTTACAAGCGTCAGTTAAATTTTAGCTATACTCAAACGATTTTGAAACTTCAAGTGGCAAAAGTTGGAACTAATAACCTAGTAAACGCAGCGTGGGACGTCCACCCACAAGGTGGACCGACGACATCATAAAGGTAGAAGGAAAGCGCTGGACGCAGGCCGCTATCAACCGGGCAACATGGAACGTATTGGGGGAGGCCTATGTTCAGCTGTAGACGTCCTATGGCTGAGATGATGATGATGATTATGAACCCAGTACTTGATAGTAGGTACTCGTAAATGTCCAGTATGGCAAAAGTTGGAACTAATAATCCAGCATTGAAAGTAGTGCCCTCCTGACAATTCCATAGCTGGGACGGTTCAGTGTTGGACAACTATAGATTATTGACGCTCACGTGTCAGCGTTTATAGAAAAGAATATTGTTTTAAATTGTAAATAAAATTTCCAATCGCTAAAATCCATTCGAAACGCACTTAAAACTCGAAATAACAAGATGCAAAACGCGATACTCGTAGAATAAACAAGAGACGAACAAAAACTGAGAGAACTGCATCGGAGCGTCTTACTTTTACAGTACTGTTGGAAGTGCATTAAAAATACAACTTCTTAAAAGGTAAGCCGGTGGCTGTAATACCGTGCACTTTACCGGTTCTTAATCAAGTGAATGGAGCGAAATGTTTTCGCTTTTAAATTTTCACGAGCTTATACTATAGAAAATAAAATAGATTAAGGGAAGACTGACACCTTCGTTTAGGTATGTAATACAAAAACCTATGCCTATTGCTTTTAGTCAAACGACTGTATACACAAGTCAAATGCCAGAATTAAAATATTTATTTTACATAAGAAATCAAACAAGAGTCAATTTTCGATTGCATGTTATCTTCGTTACTATTTTCTATATATAATCAATCTGTAAATTATCACCCAAACATTTGTAAACTTAGCATAGATGTCCCCGTAAAAAAATAGGTATCAAGAAAAACAACAAAACAGTTAAGTACAGTGAATTTATTACACCAGAGCCAAATTATTTATCATCACACCGCTTACCACGGGTCGCTCTCGCTGAAGTTTACGTTGAACTTCTGCCTCTGCAAGGTCCTTCTACCATCGAAGTGACTTGTCAGCGCTGTCAACTCATAGGTCCCGCTCATACTGATATCGGGGTTCCTGAACTCAATGCCACAGGACACGAAGACTCCACCAAGAGCGGTCACAGTACTGGGCAGGTTGTTGTTTGGGTAGACGTCGTAGGACAGGCGTCGTAGGACAGGCCAGATGGGAAGGACACGATGCACGCTTCAAGGGTCGCCAACAAAAATACCGGTTAGAGTTATAGTTAAAGTAAGGGTATTGCAACAGAGACTGAGTTCAGTGTAGAATGTTTTTCAACGTGGCCAGAATGGAATGGGTCACAGTAAAACAACTAAACATTAAAGTACAGTGAATTTATTACACCAGAGCCAAATACTTCAACATCACATCGTTTACCACGGGTCACTCTCGCGGAAGTTGACATTGAACTTCTGCCTCTGCAAGGTCCTTCTACCATCGAAGTGATTTGTCAGCGCTGTCAACTCATAGGTCCCGCTCATACTGATATCGGGGTTCTTGAACTCAATACCACAGGAGACGAAGACTCCACCAAGAGCGGTCACAGTACTGGGCAGATTGTTGTTTGGGTAGACGTCGTAGGACAGGCGTTGTAGGACAGGCCAGATGGGAAGGACACGATGCACGCTTCAAGGGTCGCCAACAAAAATACCGGTTAGAGTTATAGTTAAAGTAAGGGTATTGCAACCGAGACTGAGTTCAGTGTAAAATATTTTTAACGTGGCCAGAATGGAATGGGTCACAGTAAAACAACTAAACATTAAAGTACAGTGAATTTATTACACCAGAGCCAAATACTTCAACATCACATCGTTTACCACGGGTCACTCTCACGGAAGTTGACATTGAACTTCTGCCTCTGTAAGGTCTTTCTACCATCGAAGTGACTTGTCAGCGCTGTCAACTCATAGGTCCCGCTCATACTGATATCGGGGTTCCTGAACTCAATGCCACAGGACACGAAGACTCCACCAAGAGCGGTCACAGTACTGGGCAGGTTGTTGTTTGGGTAGACGTCGTAGGATATGCCAGTTGGGAAGGACACGATGCACGCTTCCAGGGTGTCCAGGATCAGGTGGGGGATGCTGATGCCTCTCCCGAAAAGGGGGTTGGTGATGTGGTTCACGTCTACATCTTCGAGCTGGATCTCTTCAATCGCAGCACCTAGACCTGGAAATTAATTAAAATTTGTTATTTGTAATTTATCATATCTAATGGTTAGCAAAAGAAATGGATTTAGCTTTGCCATATAAATAAAATAACAAGTTGGAAAATACTCCTTGTTAATACCCAATTAAAACTACAATTTTCCTTAATTTACTTTGGATTTAAAGCAAATACAATAACTGTATGCAGTGTAAAGATTTTGTTAAGATTGAAATAAAATTGAAATAAACTAACACTGACAGTTCAAATTATCTTATGTAATAATAAAATACGTGAACTTTACGGCCTCAGCCTCGAACTTAGCGGGCAGCGGGGCGGGAGCGGCGGCGGCGCGGGCGCGGGGCGGGCAACGCAGACCCGTTCTCGAAACAAGCGGGCAGCTCGCGCGGCGCTTTAGCGGCGAAGTGTTGTGTTCGGGGTTGTGTTGTCGAGATATTTGTTTTTATTCGCAAACGAAATGTCTGAACAACGGCGACAATTTTATTTCGATTTAAATTTATTCCTAACGCTCGATTTATTGTGGGCAAAAGAAGGAGTGCGCTGCCCGCTCGTTGCCCNGTCTATGATTTTACGCATAAGATCCTGCCGCTCTCGCGCCGCCGCCGCCGCCGCCCCGCTGCCCGCTAAGTTCGAGGCTGAGGCCTTAGAGAATCACTAGGGCTACCCAAATCACCGTGACTTTTGATAGTTTTCGAGTTATTATTATTTTACAACACATCCTGTGTGTGTTAACTTTTGTAGTCCCCCC